ATTGATTCCCCACAACCTGGTTTAGCCCATTTTAGAGAGCACAGATGGGAAGTTTACATTTGGATTAAAGCTCCTTCTGCACATCACAAGTCCTTCCCAGCATCTTTAATGCTACTACCCCTGAGACGTGAACATTAAGCTGTGTTCCTTCTGGCCTGTTCTTCATCAGGAAGAAAATTCTGCCTTCAGACTGTATTAATGATTCTACTGATGATACATGAGATGAAACAAAGCACAGCTTATACCACAAAACCAGCATTTGATTTTCTAGGCTAGGAGGAATAATAAAGAAACATATTAAAAGCAGTGATGACAGCCAGTTCTTCTGGCAGATTAATAACATGAGGTTCAAAGTACTTCCTGATCATCTAAATTGCATATCCATAAGAGGTTTCATGTTCAAAGGGGTAACGTTTGATTGAACCATGTTTATATTTAGAAAATAAGGACCATTTTTTTCGTGTTAGATTTTTTTGTAATACTTTTCATATTTTCTTACCTTTTTTGCTGCAATATTTTACATGCTTTCGTAAGTCACTTAAAAAAATTCTTGAACTTTCAGGACACTGAAGGTACTGAAGGCTTTAAGGCCTGACTGAGCACGCAACGCATCTGCAGCTGGCAAATTTGCTTCCCTTTATTTTCAACTGAACTGAAAACATTTGGATTGTTCACGAACAATTGTGTGCATGTTCAAGTGTTCATAGTAGAAATGGCCTTCCAGGGATGCCCACATTTTTCTGCCTGGCCCCAATCCTTCAATAATGTCAACTTAGGAGCTGCGGATCTTCTCACTTCGGAAAAGATAAAATTTGCTACAATGGTTCCAATTCTACTGCCTAAATAAGAGGTGCTTTTTAGAACAAATAGTGGTATCAGAACAGCAGCAAGAAAAAGAAAGCAACAAAACCCAATTAACTAACTCAGTATGATTATTTCTATTCTTGCATCTTGCAATGCAGCTCAGTATAACTGCATCTGGTGTGGCTCTCATATTCTGTATTCTTGAAGGGTTGTCAAGAATCTAGGATAATCTTGAGCACGTGGATGGGGATAAGAGGCAAAGGTTTGTTGCTGGGCTGAAAAATTACCAGCTCAAACAATTGTTGAGCACATGTTGGTGTAAATATGCTCATGATATTCTGCAATGGGCCTAGTAAAAGGAAGAAATTCAAGAAAATCCAACAGTCCCAGAAATTGCTGATAAATCAAAACCATAGATGCCAACTATGCACCAGCTGCATTGCAACCCTAATGGAAAAGATGTCCTTTGAATAGCTTGACCATACAGTCAGGGAGGCATTTGTGAACTTGGAGTTGGTAATGAATAGACAGTGGGCCGCTTTGCAGTCAACTCCTCAGCTTTTCTTCTGCCTGCTATTTAATCTGAAATTCTCTAATTCCCTCAGAACAACAATAACAACAAAATATAAGCCACTAATACTCTAATACTCTTTATGCTCAATAGCTACCAGTGTTCCCAATGATTTGCCCAAACAATTTTGAATCTTTATAAAATTTTAGTATCTCTGCTATCCTATGGCAGGAGTTCCACAATAAATTACAATTCTCATTTCAGCCTGCATTTTGCTTCTTGTGTCTTATTCGTTTATTCTTGCGCTTTGTCCTTCAGACAGAACACCTCTTCTCCCTTATCAACGTTCACGTGAATCCTACTTACCTTAATTAACTACCTTTTCTGGCAGAATACTAAAATTAGGTTATTTACACAATGCCCAATCAGTGCTGAATATGGATAACCAACACAGTTTAACAAGGTAGTTGAGTATCCAAAGTAGCACAGCAGTCTCCCTCAGCTCAAAAAGATAAATTAACCAGAATGGAGAACCACTCTGATGGAACATTTTTAAGCAGTAGTAGCTGGAGCACCTAGAGCCAATGGTACCATGTTTGCTACATTGGTATCAAGTCATATAATTGATTTTTAATTCCTGTTCGCAAGGACGCACGTTAATACCACACATTGACATTTATGTCAATGTCACAGCATCTCTGTACTAAGAAAACCTGCCTGTCACGTGGCTGTTCAGATCAGTCCGGCACACAGACTGTGAAAGAGCTGTCACGCTGCACAGTAGGTCTGCTGTGTAACACTGCTGCACACATCTACATAAGGATTGCAATAGCACATCCTCACCTAACATATATCTGAATAGGCCAGATTATTCATCTCATAGTCTGACCTGAAATGTACAAAACTGTAATGACAGAAAGTCTTCAGACTATTTCAGTACTTTCTAATTACTGTAAGCAAAGAGATTGGAGTGCTCCAGGAATGGCTCTTGAGCAAGACCGGCTGATCAGGCCAGCTGTTACTGCAGAGATGCGCTCCAAATTATTATTGCTTGTCCCTGAGGTGTTCCTTCTAAGGTGGTGTTTCTTAGTTGTAGCCAAAAACACACACCCAAAAATCACTTCAGAGTAGAATAGCAAGTATGTTCCAAACCACCCTCTTTCACAAGATTTTCAATAGGAAGGGGGTAGATAGGTTTTGGTAAGCCCTCTCAGCACACTGAGATGGTCTCTTGTTGATAAACTGCTGTTTTCTTCTTATTCATCCTGGTAAATGGACCACGTAGAGCTCTGTATTCCCACCCAAGGAATACCAGCTGTTCCCAGAGCAATGTAAGGGTTAAGAAGTGAATTATTTGGCACTAGAAGAAAATTCTCTAGAAAAAATCTGGGTTTAGCTTTTCACATTTCTGAACCATCAAGGGAAATTCATATAAAAGGTAAAAAAAATCAGATGTTAACTTTTGCTTTTGTTTGTGTAGACACACAGGAAACATTTTCCAAAATGTTTTTTGTGCTTACCTACTGTGGAAGCTGCAAATCTTTGCCTGTGTGAAGGAGAAAGAAAAAAGGGATGTAGGGGAAAGGAGTGCTATGCACCATTTCTATCTCATCCAAGGACATATGTCTTGGAATCCATAATAAACTTCTCTGCTCAGAAACTTGTCAGAGCAGGCAGTAATAAATCATTCAGGCACTCACTCAGTCATACGCTTCATAAGCCCCACTGCATACCATGTATCTTGAGACTGCTATGAATGTACATAACTCTGAAAATACAACAGATTTAGGGAAAGAAAAAAAAAGCTCAGACTGGAGATGTCCTACAACCATAGTAGTGCTAAACTTATTCAAGGAAAGGAACAAAACTTAGTATAAACTTAAAAAAATAAACTCTTGTTATTAACATGACCAAAAGATTGAGAAAACTATAAGTTACTATTTTTATATACTTCCATATGTTATTCCATCTGACAAGAAACTAAGGAATGCACATCGAACTGGGACACATTCAGATTCTGCTTGATCCCATGTAATCTCCATCTCCTAGATGGCAACACGTATTCAGGGGTAGAAGGGCTCTGATCTGTAGGAGGAATCTGTTCAAATCAGGATGTAATTTGAAACTGCCAAGGAGTTAAGCCTTCTGAAGTTGGCACTGATACTCCATCTCTTTAAATGAAAAGCATGAAGCAGGGCTTACTAGCATTCAGCACTGCCTAGCGATTAATGGAGGTCTGAAGTGGCTTCCTTCACTATTAGTGTCCACCTTCCTTGGATATTGCTAACACAGGACCTATCAATTTTATGTAGTAGATTTAATTAGTATCTCTGGAATGGGACTCCTCTGCCAGTACTGCAACAAATCAGCAGTAGTTTGCTACAAGGCAAGAGCAACTTCATGCAGTAACTAAGCATAGTTGGGGCATGCATAGATCAGTGACAAATATTTATTAGCAGGAAGGCTCATTCAGGAGGTATTTGCCTCCTGCCCAGTTGAGTATGCATTCCACACATCCAAACTAAGCACACAACTGTGTATTTTTACCCAAGCTCACTTATCAGTGCAGAACACAAACCAGCAAAACAGTGATAATGGGTTTGGGGAAGGATGATGTTTACACTGCCAGATTTTCTGTAAATGCTCTCCTGAGGAAAAACAAGAACAAGAATACATCCTGGATCAGTGAAATCCAGATCCAGCTGCTAACTAAGGGGCACCGTTTGCATATTATTCATAAAAGGAAATAGATACACTTCTATCAAAGCAGTGTATTTATCATAAAGACACTAGGCAGTGCTAGCCTTCTATTGTTGTTTAAGAGATGGCAAAGAAAATTCCTTTTTTTCTAAATAGAAAGACAATACATTTCAATTTATTTCCAGAGAACACAGATCCTGAAACCTGGAGTTTATCTAAGGAAAAAACTTTACTGGAGACCCTTTAAAAAGTGTTTGTAAAACATTTCTATTGTATAACTTTGAATTACAAAACTGTGCAGGTGTATCTTTGAGCTCTTGAACTTTTTCAAATGAATTGGCACGGAAAGAACTTTCTCTGACAGAAATATGAGATCTCAGGATAAACTCACTTGACTTCTGTTTTCCATCCATTTCAATAATGTATTTGTTTTGTTCGTTACTTGAGTTTAAAATATACCAATGCTATATACAGTACAATAGTGGGACTGAAGGACATGCTAAGCAACAAAAGTGAAATGGGATTTACAGTATCTACACCTCATAATTTAGATTATGGAAAAGATGCATTACCATGCTACTTGCTATAAACTCAGATGTTCATGACTAACTGAGCTGGTCCCCAGGCTTCCTCAAGAAAACTGCCATTTGTCTTCTCATTTACATGTCACATGATTTTGTAGCTTAACATAGCAATGACTGGAATGAATATCTGCTGTTGTTAAAATGTGACTGTAGGATCAACTGATTAAGGCTGTTTCTGGCAAAGAATAATAGAGTAAATCCATAGATATCTTCATGGCATAAATCTCTCTACCAGGAATGCTAGGGAGGAAAAGAAATCCCCTGAGTGTTTAAGCAAACCTAAGCTTCCTGGACCTGTTGCAGAATGGTAGAAAAAGCTGTCAGAAATAAAAAAAATAATCTCATACCTCTACATGCTGCTCACAAACTACAATGAAATGAAGTGTGAAAACAGTACTTACAGCTTGAGAATATCAGTGGACATGAGTGTTCATCCATTGGGAAATTGTGTAGCTGCAGCTGGCACTCAGCATTGATGGTAAGCCTGTAGAGAAACCAGGTGTCTGTTACTGCACCTCAGCAGCATGAACAGAGGAGGAGGCTGAGCAGCTTTAGGTGGTCATGCAAGAGCTTTGATACCTATAAGGCCTGAAAAGCTAAAATGCAGATCATCCAAAGGCTCCTTATGCTGAATCCAAAACAACAGCAACTATCGGGAAACATAAATAGTTTCAAAAATGTGATTAAGAGTTTTCTGATCTAAAGAAATCTGTGCATATGTTTTTCTTGAGACAATCATTAAACAAAATGGGATGGAATCAGCTGGCAGCAAAACAGATGATGTGTGTGTATGTAATTCCACAAAATTAAAATTTAATAAAGAATCTTATAGGGAATCCTCTCTTCATTTGCTTACAGTGTGAAGTTAAAATCTGTTCAGTTGTTTTGGAATACTTCTCAAAAACCTACAAGATATCTCTACAGTCCCACTTGAAAGCTTCTTTTATGAGATATCCTAGCACAAAGGACACTATGTGTGGACTTGATTTAAAACTGACTGTTGGATGATCTTCAATCTTAAACACTGCGAAGTGAATCTATTTACACAAGCATTTCGCTTTAAGGGCTAGTTTATTGTTGAGTGTTTTTCAGGAAAAAGACATTACATGCATGCCAGAAATTATGCGTGTGTGAGAGACAGGTCTTTTCAGTTCTTGGCGCTTTGTTTTTATTTTCTATTTTTATTTAATATTCAAAAGCTAACACACTGGATTGGGAAAAATTGCATATGAGATTTAGTGTTTCTCAGAGAAAACTTCTGTGCTGCAAAAGGTCACTTAAATGGAACTTCTGTTTTTAAACTGATTGTAGAAGAGTGTTACAGAAAGATTAACACCTGAAAGTAGGCAGGCAAGAGGAGGAAAAGGAAATAAGCCTGTCTGAGCCTTATACACAGAATGGCACCTTCTCCTGAATGCAGAATATTTTATCAAAACTGCATAGAACTTAGACATGCAGTTACTGGTTCCATGCCATGCTGATTCTGTGTGGTCACCAAAGTCAGACAAATTACTTGTTTCTTAATTACAGAGTGATCAATGATCTTTCTAGCAGTTTCTCACTTAAAAAAATACCCAATCTGACAACCCATTTGGTCAAACATTATTCATTTATTTTACCTGATTTAGGGAAATTTTGCAGCTCGTATGACAAACAGTTTTTTATGTAAGTATGTAAGTCTAACAAATATTAAGGAGACACAACTTGCTCTGAAGAACTGAAATAAAACTACAGAAAAGAAAAAAAAAAAAAAAGACAAGAGGTGATTAAAGCTGTCAACAGAAATAAGCAAGAGCTCTGTCACCATGGAGCAAGCCTATGAAGGGAAAGGCAATAAAACTTCAGTAGTATTTCCAATTGTTCAACTTACTCACTACTGTTTCTGAAGGACTTGCTACTGGAGCCCAACTGCAATCAGAAGAGCAGCCACAATGCTGAGAACGATCAGTGCAGAAAATGTAGCGTCAAAGCCATGTTTCTGAAAAACTGCCCTGTGGAGTTTGGCTTATGGTAGAACTCCCTTCTGAGTAATTCATCTCTTCAACAAATAAACATATTTTGATTTCCACAGGCTCTTTTTATGCAAATTTATACATTATTTCTAATGCCATGTAGTTGATGATATTATGAAGATAAGAAAAATTCTAAAAGCTTTTCCTCCAGCGATTCACACTTTGATGAGATGTGACAGACTATCTTTCAGTGAGACTTATTTGAAGAATCAAGTACTGACACTATCATGAATCTGGAAATATTTTATCTGGTTCTGCAGCTAACTCTGATCAGAAAGGTTTCTGGCAGGTTTTATGGAACTACATGGCTCCAGTTTTATTAAAAATCCTAATATAAGAACCTGAGTTCCACAATTTAGATAGACTTGTTTCCTAGATTCACAGTTTCTTTTTCAGAAAGATGAGACTTTGCTTAAACTCTGCAGTGTTTATACTGGAATATTTCACTCTTTATCAAGCAATGTCAGGTAAACATCAGGAATCAAGCAGCAGAGGAGAACAAGGAAATTACTCCAGATCCAAAAATGCAAGAAGCATGCTGAATGCTCACCTGAGGGTGTACAGGATCTTGCCATCATTCCATATCCGGAGGAGCTGGTTTGGGGTGGTGATCCAGTGTGCTTCTGCTGTCTTGGAGTTCCGAAATATTGTGTCTGGGATCCAGATCAAACCAACCATGTTGCTGTTTAGAGTCAGAATTTTCATGGTGCTGTTGAAGCGAAGACGGCTGTCTGTCCACGTCTGAGCAAAAAATATATCAATTTGATATTCCTGCAATGAAAGCATGATATGCAAATTGAAATCAGTTCTATACATCTCACTACATTTGGTCTTTGATAAAGTCTATCCAGATGTGGAACAGGATACATTCAGGCCAATGGAGCTATGTTTTCTTTCTTTCTTTTTTTTTTTTTTTCCCCTGATACAATTGATTTATTCTTACTATTTATTTATTTATTTTTCAGGTTACTTCTGAAGACAGGCTAAACACCTCCCTTACTTTGAACCTGTGCAGTAATAATTTTGACACTAGCACATTCTTTTCCATTGTATCTGAAAAGACAACTACAAGATACAATTTGTAGAGACATCTCTGTCATAGGTCAGAACGATGAAAGGTGTGAAAAATGAACAACACAAGTAAGTTGAGGAATGGCAAATTCCCCTGATTTTTGCAGCACATTTTTTTGTTGGTTTGTTCTGTGGGCAAATTCAATAAACTAACAATTCTCTTTCTTCCCAACTACTTCAATTCAGCCATACTTTTGCAGCTGAATTCAAAATTGTTTTTTTCATTAAAGGCACCTCATGTACTTCAAGTGCTAAGAGCTGTGCAATCACTAACTTTCTGCCCTGAGTATACTAATTGCATTACATTAATCTCATCCTTTCTTTCACTCCATGTTTCCTGTTTTGTTACTAAGTAAGCACACCAGGCATAATAATGCAGAAATTAAAATACAGACAGATGTACATACAAAGCTATGTAGGTGAACACAGAAACACACTGGTATATGCATTTAATAACCCATAGAATAAGCTGTGTTAAAAACAGCTTTCGGACCATGATCTCTGGTGATCTGAAGCCAGGAAAGCTCACATTTGCATTTGCCTGCCTTATGTTTCCTGTCCTGCTTCCAGATTGCTCTACCTGTGAATCCTGTGCAAACGCCTGGTCATGCCACAAAAGACCCTCTCAGTGTTGCAGGGGGCCTGCATCCACCACAGGGATGGCATTTGCTCATAGGACACAAAGTGTGTGCTCTGCCATGCAGGTGAATGCAGGGCTGAGTAGATCGGGGGAAGTAAACTCCTTAGGTCACCTGGTACGTGCACTCTTGGTAGATCTAAACTGTGCGGAATTTAGGCTCTCTAGAATGTCTTTACTTTTGATCACTCTGAACTTGTTTTTATTGCTTTTTCATTTTTCACTTCCCAGGTTTCTCATTTAATAGATTCCCTATTGTAAAAATAAATGCTACTAAACCAATGGCATTCTACATTATTTATAGAGAGAAGAACCTATAGTATGAACTGAGGAGAGCATTTTTGCTAAAAGCATCTGGTTCCCCTGCTCTATTAAATTATTGGCAGGCCATTCTTCCAGAGCTAATGCTGTAACACCAGGAAACCTAATTCACAGACACTGTAATCCTGGTTCTAAACATGCTCGGGGCCTCTCATCTCTAAATGGCAAATGATCAATAGGTGAAGAAGTGGTGCTAGCATTTATCCATCTATCACCTTAGGAATTAAAGCCAAGGCATCAAAGGAATTAAGGACCAGTTTTCTTCATAGCCTATCTCACTGCTATTTTTCATTGTATTAGCTTTATTTTCTCTGTGAAGCTGACAGATTTAAATCTGAAGAGACTCTTCTTTCATCTCAATGAGATGAGATATCGTCACACACCTAAAGGATGCAATATACTACACAGAGCACATCTTTATTGGTACCCAGAATTCTGATCTTGTTTTATTACACTGAACTCTCTATCATTTTATCCTTGAAAGACCAGTGACAGGAGTTACTTTGACATGCTCAGCTTGTACAGTAAGGCATACGCCAGATATGTCTGTGGGTTTCTCCAAATGCTGAGTGAATAGAACAGCTTTTCTTAGCTCACATGTGGGAATCAACATTTATAGAATCAAAGATCATTTGTATACAGCTGGCTAATGATGGTGCTGTATTTTCACAGGACAAGCTTTTGCATAATATTCATATTTGAGGTTATTTTATATGAATGCTTTATTTTGACTGTCAAATGTTTACTAAATATAGAAGAAGTCATAATTCCCTTCTGGTAAATTGTACATATTTAATGGAATTCTGAATTTTAGGATTTAGGATATTCAGGATTTCACTCTCTCTGAAGGAAAGAAAGCCCTTGAGAAGTGTCCTGAGAAGGTACTGCAGGTAGATCTGATCTGAGCACATTGGGCACCAGAAGCAGTGCAAGTACCACTCTGTGGATTCCTTCGAAGTACAGTACTCAGTCTGAGAAACAGATTACATTAGCCTAGAAGCAGGGCTGCTCTAACACCACTGTTTAGCTTCCACTTTGCTTTTCCATCATTTATTATCACAGTTAGAACACCTCAGAAATGACCGTTAGTCCAAATATCTCCTCAAAGAGCTACTGTAGGTTTGTTCACTGTAATAAAAATGTTACAGCTCAAATTAAAAGATTCACAGATCTTCTGAGTGAGTTAGTCTGTTAAAAATATGCTTTTCTTTTTAAAAACATAGGTTGTGAAAAGCAAAGTGATACTTTAAATAGGAAAGCCTATGAAAGTTTGAAAGTAAAGCATTTACTTTTTCAACACTTTACCTCTATTTTTTTAAGTACTTACAACATTGAATGAGAATGAACAAAAATTTTGCCCCTACAAAACAATTTTTTTCAGTAAAAATAAGCACATTTCCATCTAATATCTGAATTTCAATTTCATCGTTTATATTCTCTCCATTAATTCCTTTTAGGAGATCGTGGATCAGTACATCCTTTATACCAGTCTTTGCAGTTGCTTCAGTTTTCAACTGAGCAAACAGTGGGGTACAGTATTATATATTCACTCTACAAGGAAGAGACTGAGGTTAGTTTCTAAGTTGAAACTCAGTTCTTCACTTCTAGTGGAGCTAGCTCTATGCACACTACAGCAAAATTACCTTCATCTTCACTGAAAACAGACACTCAATTCTCAGTGAAGTCAAAAGTTTCTATATGCTGCTTTGCACAAAGCTAGCACAGTGATCTCAAACACCGTGACCAACAGAAACTGACAGAACAAAGGTTCCTTTGTTGGTCTCACACACAACTTAAAAATAAAACAGGATAGGATAGGATAAAATGTACAAAATAATGCTTTTCCTTTGCTATATAATACCTACCATTTAGATGAATGCCTATGTTCAATGAAAGTTCGTGAAAGTCAGTGGTTGCGCTGGAGCATCCAGGCAAGACTCCAAGGTTTCAATGAAAAGAGGCCTCAGTTGAAGCTACATCCTAAAGCTCTAATAATGTTCCTTATGTCCTACCAAGACACCAGGACTAGTGCTAATATCCAATTCTTTCTTTACCTGTTTTTTTGTTTATTTTTTTAGCCATCTCCGATTATTACAACGTACACAAGAATTTAAAATAAACATTTTCAGCCTCTCAGTTGCAGACAGGTGAGATTGCATTCTTCAAAAAATGATGCCAGGTTCAAATACAGGAAAGTGTTCTGCCACCATGTTTTCTTGTCTTGCAGGCACTTAGTCATGCCACCAGAACAGACTCAAGATTTTTCCTGTTGTATTCACATTTATCTGGATATACTAACTGTAGCTATGCTCCCTAGCAGCCACACTTCTGAACAGACATCCTCCTTGAAAAGAAGTAAGAGGCAACTCTATAGTGAAAAATGGACCTACATGCTCACATGAAGGAAAATTTTATGGAAATCTTATTTCTTATTTATTTCTGAAATAAAATTTCTCTGATGCAAAATTCAGTTATAAACTTAAAAGCATTGACAGAAAAAGACATTATCAGCTTTAATAGATTTCATTATGTTTGGCTTATCAAAAGTAGATTTGTAGAGCACATTACATGTGTAATTTAAATTTCTTACACTTACAAACTTCATAAAAATGGAATATGTTTGAAGCAGAGTTTCTCAAACTGTCCAACTGTATAAAAAACATTTTCTTTTTGGTGCTGTGTTCACAATGGTACATTAAAGAAATTGGAAGAGCAAGAAGGTGAGACTAGAATATAGCAATATTTCCCAATAGAAAACTAGTGATACACAGAAATACTCAGCCAAATAGCTACGTACACAACTTCAGACCTTTTAAGAATATTTAAATTTTCAAGAAATTTTTAAGAAATTTCAAATTTTCCTCTTTGTACATTCAGCACAATCTAAAAGCAATGTATGTTGGCATGAAAATCTCTATCACCCAACAAGATTATCTTTGAAAATGGGATTTGAACATAGGTGTTTGACAACACTCATTTAATTTCCATAAGTAACTTCTAAAACCAAGAAAACACGATCCTTTCACCTTTGTTGCATACAAGCAATCATTTCATGGAGAACATTTCTGTCCTTTCAAGTGCTCCTTCTGTGCTCCTTCTGTCCTTTACAAGCTCTCTTCTCAGTCTGAAACTTTTGTTGAGAAAGACGACTTAATGAAATAATTAGAAAGAGAGTCTGAGTTTTTTTTCAAATCACATGATGATTTAATTAAAGAATGTTTTTCTGGCCTTGTGGTGAACGGAACAGTAAGCTAGAAACAACTTTTCTTTCTTTCTTTCTACTGATTTGTCTACAGAGCGTGACATAACCCAAAAGCAACAGCAGTATTACCAGCCACAAATAGTGACACACAGTCAGGGTTCAATCTATTTGTTTTTATCATTTTTTTTCATATTTTCAAATATTTTTAGCATGGTTTAATTAGTCCCTTAAAAATCAAGCCAGCACTAAATGATTTGCCCTCCAACTGTGCCGGAATGATTAATGATTGGAAACATCTTGAAAGTGTTATGGTTTGAGGTACCTGTAGTCACAGAGAAAAATACTTTGTTTTCCACCAAGTTGTCAATTTTTTCTCAGTCAAAAGAGGAGATAACATATGTTGGCATTAAATGAAGCTTTTCTCCTACCAAAACGTGGGTTAATCCTGGAAAATACCATTTAATTGGCTGTCACAATAAGATGATCTCTTTGGATGGCTATAGATAATAGTATGGTATGCCTTTGTTGCTTCTGCTGCAG